GGCTACAAAGTTTGTTCAAATGCATGACCTTCACCCATATTTAAGGTCACAGGGGTCAAATATGTCAAAAACTTTAAAATCCCTAGAGATATAACCAAAATGCCCAGGGTGATGATATTTAGTCAGTAGCATACTAGGATCAAGGGCTACCAAGTTTGTATAAATGTATGACCTTGAATCATATTCAAGGTCACAAGGAGCAAATATGTTCAAAATATTTCAACAACTTGTTCTGAATAACCAAAAGGCTCAGGATGTTGATATTTAGTCAGTAGCATATGCTTGGATCAAGGACTTCAATCACAGGGGTGAAATGTTCAAAAAAATAAATAACAGGTTCTTTTGAATGAATTTTAATCGTAAATACTGATATTTTGCCTGTAGCTTTATTTTAGATCACTTTTAAGGTTACAAGTGTGAGTTTTATACCAGGTGAGCGATGCAGGCCCATTGGGCCTCTTGTTTAATTTTGGGTCAAATCTTGAAAATTTAAGCCCACATAAATAACCTTATATGTTGTTCAATATTCAACAGCCAGAGAAAGTCATGGAGGACATCGGTTGGTAAGGAAAGCTGAATTCAATGCCGGATCTCATATCAACACGATGTTCCGTGTACGGTGTCGCATCCGAGAGCCAGGGACAGACAGGAGGATGACAGGAGCTGTAGAAAAAAGAAACATCACATATTTTGGTATGCATGGAACATTTTTTGGCTCCAATATCTTTTGATATTCATACCATTAAAACATAGATCAATATCATATAAATTTTCTCCTTTGTTATATCATTATACGACTGTTTATGCTAAAGGCTTAATTATCAAATGATTGAGTTTATTATGGCCCTGCCATTTAATGGGGGATGAGGAAATGGCATATAGTGTTACCCATGTCCATCCCGTCCTGTCCTCTCCTGACTTAGTGTCATTGCTCTAGAAATTTCATTCATAAAATGATTTTGATCAAACTTATGAGAATACCTCAAATCAGTCTGTATTCAGGGACATATATATATATATATATACATGATGTACATTAAATGACATATATACTCTAGCAACTTTATTTCTTAACTTGTTCAAAGGTCAGGTATGAGGATACCTCAAATGAGTTCATATTTTAGTGTTTCAAGTTCAAGGCCAAGGTGACTTTCTTTTTAGAAATTTGTGACATATATATATATTTAATGACATAACATACTCTACCAACTTTATTTCTTGATGGATTCTGATGAAACTTTTTCAAAGGTCAGGTATGAGGATATGATACCTCAAATGAGGTCATATTTTTAGAGTTCCAAGGTCAAGGAAGAGGCAAAGGTAACTTTTCATAGGAATTTGTCAAACATTGATACTAATTTGCATGGGAGCAAAGGAACTCTTGTCATACAGACATTTTCAGGTTTTATAGTTGTTTTGCCAAAGACCTTAGTGTAATGTATCTATGCCTTTCTTTTAATGTATTGGTGGTTTGTTCTTTCAGCCACTTTGGACGGCAGTATGGGCTTCATTCTTCCCGTCTCGGAGAAGGTGTACAGACGACTGCTCATGTTGCAGAATGCCCTCACTACACAACTTCCTCACCTGGCTGGCCTAAACCCTCGGTCCTACAGGTCAGTCAGTGAAACATACCGGGCAGTAAATTAGAAATAACATTAACCAGGAAGTTGGTTGCTGCAGATTATTTGTGTATTATTTGAATTCCTTACCTTTTATTTGCGAAATTACCAAATATTATAAGTTACGTCAGTTTGATCCCCGTCTCACCGCACTGATTATTCCTATATATACAGTAACCTCCCTGATTGGATGGAACTAAAGAACAGTTGGGGCAGATGACTAGGTAGCTCAATCAATGGTTATTCCTATATATGTAGTAACCTCCCTGATTGGATGGAACTAAAGAACAGCTGGGGCAGATGACTAGGTAGCTAAATCAGTTAAGGCAATCTGAAGTCCAGGATTCAAATCCCGGTCTAGTCTCACTGAAGGACGAAGGTTTGACAGGGCGAACATTTCATGGTATACAGTGTGATACCTTTTGAAGTACAGGATTGGATTTCAACCACTTGACCTGTCTGTGGCCCCCTGCTAATTTTGTCATATTGGAATGCAGTGCATTGTTTTTCTCGATGAATGTGTACAATAATAATTACCATAATAACATCAGGGTGCTGTTATTTTTCGTATATTTATATCCCTGTCTCCTACTGTATATCTTCAGGACATTTAAGCAGTCTTGTCCGGAACTGAGAAATTTACAGAAGAATATCCTGGATGGAGAACTGTTATGGAAATATCCAAACTTGAGTGTCATGGAGAAAACAGAAATTGCTAAACGGATTGGTACATCAGCTGATCAGGTAAATCAATACACAGTTTTTGTCTACAACTTTTCTCTAGAAGAAGGGAGGGTCATCCCATTTTGTTAGGATTTTGAAATAAGAAACAGAAATATTTTTCAAACAAATTAATATTTCATTACCATATCTATCCTGCAATAAGCCCAGGGGTTAGCACATAATCTCTGACTGAAAGTAAAGGGTGTGCTTATTACAGGACAACGAGAAAGATTTTGTTGGCATTTCTTTCTAACTGTGATATATATATTGATGGACCTTTTACCAAGCATGGGCTTATTGCCAGGTAAATACGGTAATTAATGAATTTATTTTAATTCAACAGACTAATAGGTCCAATAACAGAATTGATTATATGTGATATAATATTGTTACTAATATAAGCAACAACAAAACAATTGTACACAGTAAACGGTTGATATTGTATGTTTTTTCAAGTGTTCCTTAAAACTAAAGGTACAATACTTTTAAAAAAATATGTCTTTCTTTTGCATTTGTAGATCTTAGAAGACTTAATGGAGGCGGACAGATTAACAGCACATTTCTGAGGAGGACATATGACATTAAGCTGAGTGAGGGAATTTGTGGAAATCTTTTCTGAGATTTAAAAAGAAACTAAAGTTCCTGATCAAGAGGACTAAATAGAGGGACGTTTGCGAAATTAACGTACAATACACATCCTACTGAATCAAAATAGGGAACTTATTCAACATGTCAACAGTGATTGATGGGAAGTTCGATTTCAGACCACACAGATACTTGTGTAAAAATTGTACTTTAGAACAGCTTTGAGCAGCAGAATTTGTTATAGAGCTTTCAGTCTCAGATCTGACTTCTGGACGTTTTAAAAGGTTACACAATATGTTGGTTGTCATGACAACTATGTCATTTCATTTCATTTTTAGATTTCATAGATATTTGTTTACCATCAGCTTCATTCTATGCATGATCAATCACTTCATAATGAATGAGTGGATCTGTATGAATATTGTATAAGTAAGGATTGGATTATGTCCATTCAAGTAGGTTTCAAACTTTAAAAGAATGATATGGTCAAGACAGATAATTGTTGTATTTTGAAACCTTCTGAAAGCAGATGAAAATAGTGTTCTAGACTGGAATTTAAACCCTGAACTTCAGACTGTAATACTATTTCTCTAACTGAGTGAGTTACCTGGCCAACATAAGAGTCCTGGCCGAACTGTGTTACAGTTATATCAAAAGAGAAGTTAAGGGAAGGTTACTGTAGATTGGAAAAAGCAAACTGCAGTGAGACCGGGATCCTTAAGAAGTAAGTAAATCTGAACTACAACATCCTGCTTTGAGTGCTAAAAGTGATGTAATGAGAATCGTTAGTCAAATAACGAAAGTGAAAATATATGTTTTTATGGAATGACAGGAGATATTTGTATGAGGTATATTTGAATTAAAATGAATCATCTGTAAATAGGTTCTGTACATAATCAAGCCATGGATTTAGAATCCGGATCTAAATCCGGGATCAGTAAGAATTTTATCATTCAAAGATTGATATTTTTTACGATATTGTTATACATTGTGCATGTACATAGAAATAAAGATGGAAGATTAATGTGGAGATTTTGAGTTTTGTATTTAAGTGATTTATACCTTGCAGTATTTATTTTTCAAGACAATTCTGTATCCATGATGGCCAATCCTGCCACCAATGTGTTTCAGTTACTAGTAAATTGCCACTAGATTTACTTTAACTTATTACAAGGTTGAAAAAGTACTGATTGCAATGAGGGCCATTACCAAAGTCCCCAAAACAATCCCTGCAGTAACAAATGATGCTAATGGAAGTTGCAGTAGTTTTCGCTGTACATTATACACCTACAACCCAATTTGAACGATAACGGTCAAATCTAAATTTTGACCACTCGGATGCCAGGAAATGGCAGCCATTCTTTCCAATCAGAAAACAGAAGTAGCATTAGAGTTTTCGCAATACCCTTATGCACTTTAATAGGAAACTTGAGCGAAAGAAGGCAACATCTAAATTTTGGTTAATCAGAGGCCAGGAAATGGCAGTCGTTTTGACCAATCAGAAAACAGAATCAGCAACATTGTTTATTGTACCATTATACACCTACATGAGCAAAATAAGGCAACATATAAATTTCGACCAATCGGGCCACGTAGGCCATATTGGATGCCTCATTGAAAAATTAAAAGTCATTTGCACACTGCCTTCGATACACAAACACTCATATAAAGTTCGGTTAAATTCTTCCCAACAGTTTAGTTACATTTGTATAATAGTTAACCGAGTAAACAAAATAAGTCACAAAAATGTGTGACTTAAACCTTGACCCCTACCGGAGTTTGAAGTTTTGTCAGTATGGAGTTAGGGGTAGACATGAATTAGCTATGTATCGCCTGTAGGCGCTATATTTCGGCCATTTTAACGATTTACATGTAACCTCAGCTCCTGCAGACCCATCATCATGACTTTGACCAATGAGCTGTAATTTGTACAACAGATTATTAGTAATGGATCAGATCTGTGCCCGTAGTCATGAAACTGTTCATGTGCTCAAATACGGATTCTGTGCTCAAACCTAATTTGTTGTTCTGGTGATCTATAAATAAAAAAATAAAAAATAAAACCTCAATGAATTAAGAATAATTTAGAGAGATGTTATACTTTTTGGGGGAACGGGCCCAGGTGTTGAGGATTGATGCAAGATCAGCTAGACCAATAAATTAAAGTGACTGCTCAAAAGGGACATGGGCACATGAGCACAAATTCTCTTATATTTAAATGTTCACTGCAAGTTCCTCTATAAGCATTATCAGAAGAAATTGCGTTCAAAGCTTTATGAACGCAGTTTGATAAGCGTCATTTTAAAGCTTCTCTCGCCTCGAATAACGGGAGACAACCTTTCGAGGCAAACAGTTTGGTGAAGTTAGGCTGTTTCGTGAATCTTGTTTGCACTGACGACACAGACACAATAAGTTCTAGAAATAGCTTGGAGGGCATTGGTGGAACTTGGTATGCATGATCGTCTTCAGTTCATAATTGTACATGTTCTAATTTGAGAATTATGGAAAATAAAAAATAAATTGTTATGCTGTCAAAAGATATTTTTTACTTTTTCTTCACTAGATTTTGTTTTCATTGCATAAGATTAATTGAAAAAAGGAGAGCGAGGAGTTTTTGATATGACGATTGGATATAATTAACAGAAAAATATAAAAACGTCAGCGTGATATCAGCTAAGTCGAAACTTGTTTTTAAAGATCAGACCAGCCTCAATAATAAATATCCATGATTTACTTTTTTTTATACTGCTATGTCAATTACAGCAGAGATGTATGTAGTTCAGGTTTATATACGTCCCTGATCACAGTACGATTACTGACATTAATATTTTACAGGGGATAACGTACACAAAACGTGGTTTTGCCAACACTCGCGTCTAAAGACAGGGATAATGGGAGACAACTCGTGTTGCCTTGAAGAAGTAAAGCGCGAAACTGCTTAAAATGTGACGAAACTATGCTGCTTCGAAAGACTTTATCACCGTAGATCGGAACTAAACATGTTTTTAATACAAAATACATTACACATGACAACGGCATGGGAGACTATCGCTATTCCTTTCGTGATGGTCGTCTAGGAGAAAGGATGTAAATACAGATAGTATCAGACTTATGAATAGTTTAACATTTGGATGATTTCGAATATTGAATTTCGCAAAAGAAAAATGCATCGGTTGGGACAGAGACGTATATACTATATATATTCATACTTTATATGTCTCTGGTTGGTACTAGGATATATTTAGGAAATATATAAAGGCTACAATTTAACTTTTTTAGTTATTCCATGTCCTTTATCAGGATATTTACAGTAATATTTTAGATATATCCGGGGGAAATTGTACAACATTAATGCACATCGGTTATAATTAGGGGTGTCACAATACGCCAAGAGTGTATCACGATATATTGCAATACAGAATGAATATACTGCGAAACGTATCCCGATATATTGTCATAGGAAGGATGTGCTCAAATTTATAATAAAATATAAACAATGTTTCTACAGACATATTTAGGAAAAGTAATTAACGCATGTTTTTTTCCATAAACTACACGTCTAAGGTTTAACATATATATCTGCAATCTTAGGAAGCATGTTTTTAAGCAACAAATGTGTGTAGATTTGAAATTTGAAATGTTGCACAATTGATAAATAAAAAGCGACTTGCTGTCCGCGATCACTAGCCCTCCACCACTGGGTCACGGGCTCGTGACCTCCGTGGAGCAGTCGTCATGGCAGGTCCTGGCCGTAGGTCGGTGGTTTTTCGCCGGGTAGTCCGGCTTCCTCCTCCACCAAAATCAACAAACCAAACCTTGTAAATAACATGTATCGTTTGTACCGCGATTTACAGGTATGTCGAAAGACTACAGATTAATTAACACAGATGTATTTTGGACTTGATTTTTTTTTTTTTTTTTTAGATTTTATGGCTTTATCCGCTACAAGGATAGACCTGCAGTATTCCACTATATTCGATGTTAAGGGCGACTCTAACGTGCCCCGTCCCCTGCAGTGTCGGAGGGGATGTTTTCTACTCGGGAGACATTGGGTAGAGCAAAACTAATTAGACGTCTCCATTGCAGTACTAGGGATATCAATTTCTTCTTTTTGCTCCAACTTTCCTTTTTCCTTTTGGACGTATTTTCCTAAGAACCCGTCTCCATCAGAAATGAGAAGTTGCGAGGACGCAAAATCTTTACATTTTCGATAGCGAGAACCTCAACCTTTTATTTTTTGTTTGTTTTAAAAACAACATACACCAGGTGATTTGGTACATGTGAGTAACTTCATACTCCGAGCATAGACATGCAGAATCCGTTATTATAATGGTTTGATAAGTATCACACGTTTTCAATTAAATGTTTTATTTTGGCTAAGAACACTTGAGACTGCCGCCGTGATTTAGATAAATTTCAAGATGCTAAGCTACTTTTACAAACATGGCTTATTTTTCAATAAACCCAGCTAAGTTTTATATTTCTATTTAATGCCCTGCATCACATATAATGTGACAAAATAAAATACAAAACGACAATTTTCCGGAATCCTTAATATTCCACATTTCAACGACTTCGTCTGCAAATTCGTAAAATGAAGTACAGATCTTAACCGAGTTACAAGCATTTATAATCATCATTCTTTCCATTTTTGTTGTCTGATAAACAGAAAAACATTGCATTCTGGAAATCTCCATGAGGATCCCGACATGCACGCGCCGAAAATTAGTAATTACTGCACATGCTTTACATGTCGACCGTGCCAGGCGGCAGACAAGAGGGTAAGATCTCGAAACAGGATTGGTACGAGCAGACATTTCGTGATAAATAACTACAGTACTACTGGGGGTCTAAAATGGCTAATATACAAAGATTTACAGAGAAACAAGACAAGCGTGTTTATGATTATTGTGTAACTGTACCAACAAGATTTTCATCACTATAAAACGCTGATGTGCTCGATGCGTCACAAAAAATGTGTTTACGTGCATATTAACATGTGTAAAACGTAAAAAGAATTAGCAATTCGTTTTTATCCCTCCATCTTTGTTCTTCTCTTCTTTTTTTTTTTGGTACTATTTCAGCAACTGGTGAACATTTTGTCGAAATGTTATCGGTTGTCTGGGAATAGTTTCGCTACCGTCCGGAGGTCATGCAATTGCAAACCAGATAGAGAGCTTAGACTGAAAATGGTAGCATACGACTTAAACCGGATATGATTACAAAGAAAACTAAATTGAATACGATTACGTAGGAGTTAAGACCAAGCATGATAACGTAGGAGCTTGGATTGAACAGGGTGCGTGGTAGTACTAATAGTAATGGCCCCGAATATTAATACCCGGCCTCTTCTGACGACGCAATATATATAAAAAAAAATCTCGTCGTCAGAAAGCCACGTTATCGCAGCTAGGTAAGTAGGAGTTCAGACCAAACTATAAAACTACTATTTTTTTTATCGCTGTTCATATATCTTCACGCATTGCAGTCCAGTTTACATGATACTGGCATAATCGTCAAAATTGACGGCGCCTTTTACCAAAAAGAAGATGAACATGATTACATAGGAGTTTAGACTGAACGTGATTACGTAAAAGTTTAGATAGAACATGATTAAGTATGAGTTACGACTAAACATGATTACGTATGAGTAACGACTAAACACGATTACGTAGTAGTAACGACTGAACATGATTACGTAGGAGTTTAGACTAAACGTGATTACATAGGAGTTTAGACTGAAAGTGGTTACATAGGAGTTTAGACTGAAAGTGGTTACATAGGAGTTTAGACTGAACACGATTACATAGGAGTTTAGACTGAACACGATTACATAGGAGTTTAGACTGAACACGATTACATAGGAGTTTAGACTGAACACGATTACATAGGAGTTTAGACTGAACACGATTACATAGGAGTTTAGACTGAACACGATTACATAGGAGTTTAGACTGAACACGATTACATAGGAGTTTAGACTGAACACGATTACATAGGAGTTTAGACTGAACACGATTACAT